ATGGGTGAGAGTGTGCTTCAGGCTGAGGAGAAGCTGAACAGGACTAAGGTGGATGTTTGGTGGGGCTGTGAGATTGCTGCTTAGTTCAAGTCCTGGCTCCTCCACTTCTGATCCAGCTTCTGATAATGCACCTAAGAGGTAGCAGGTGATGGCTCTCAGACCTGGGTTCTCCCACCTGTGTGGGAGATCTGGCTTGAGTTCCAGACTCCTAGTTTTGACCTGGTCCAATCCCAGCTCTTGTGGGCATTTGGGGAGTGAGCCAGTTAGGAGGAGGTTTCTCCCTCTCTTTCTGCCCCCTCTCTCTCTTACTTTCCTCTCCCTCTTTCCTTCTTGTCTCTATGCCTTTCAAGTAAATTGAATGAATGAATAAAAATAAGAACAGGAACTGGTTAGAACCCCTGAGGTCAGCAGAGCATGGATCCAGCGAGCAGGTGTGAAACAAGAGACCTCTGAGAAACTAAGCCACTGTCATCTCATTTCACCCCATCAGTGGTCTGGATTTCAGCTAACCATGGTTTTCTAAAGAACCGGGAAAGTCACACACATTGGACCAGGAAGTATTTCCCTTAAAATGTTAGCCTCTTCTATGGACAGAATCTTGGCATTTTTATCATTTTCAAAATTGATCATACATGGAGCTTTATGGAAGTCCCAGTGAAGAGCTGTGGTCTCCACTCAAGAGAAGGATTCAGTGGGCTATTGACTGGACCAGAGAAGTCAGTTTCAATATTCTTGGATTGCTGAATCAGGGCTGAGATCAAACCAACTTCCTTTTCCTTGTTTCAAACCCGCTCTTAGGAGCCGTGTCTTGTGTAGGCTGAGTGCCATTACGATTTTTTTTTTTAAATCCCACACGGCAATCCTACCTTATTCCAGCTCTTGGGCCAGGAGGTGGAGGGGTGCACTGGGCAAGGAGCTTACAGAGCTCCCAGAACTGGTTGCTGGCTAAGCTGGGAGGCAGACATTCTCTCCCGCAGGTCACACTGTCCTCAGGCTGATCTGCCCAAAACTGATTAGGGTGGGGGTTACGACTCCTGGCCAGCGTGGCCAAGGCCCAAGGCCGAGAAGCAGATGTGAGTAAGGCTGTATAAGGGGTTTTATTTTCCACCACTGGCCATTCGCACTGGCCAGTGGTCCACATGAGTTTTGGCCTCGAGGTGTACTCAGCCAAGGCTGGATCTAAGGATACAGCTTGGTCTGCTCTTTCCTCCTGCTCCCTCTCTGCCTGCCCTCCCCTCCTGCCCCATTCCTGGATTCCTTTCTCCATCAAAGCCAGGAAGGATCGAAGGAGCCAGGTGAAAGAGCTCACATTCTATGACTCTCCTGCGGGATAACTGTGTTGCATCAAAGCCCTGAGGGCACCAATGATCCTGTTCTGGCAGATGCTCTGTGCACTCACTGCTCAGAGCTCAGGGTTCCTCAGTAAGCCCAAGGGACTTGAACAGAAGTACCAGGCCATGTCCCCTGTTAGTTGACTGCCATGACTAGCACACAGAGCCTCCCACCAATAAGCAGTAACAGCTGCAGGGCCATGATTTCTTGATCTCATTGGGGTCCACAAAGAAAATACCCCCGGGGAGGTATTTGTCAGAGCCTATCCAGACCTGAGAGACAGAAGTGTCTCGGCTGAGAATTCAGTGGTTGCCATCCCAGAGCTTCCTGTGCTTGTGCTATGAAAGGGTTTAGTTCCTCCAGGCCTCAGATTCCTCACCTTTAACATGGGAAATCCAGCACTGTCCCACAGGTTTTGATTAGAACCAAGTGCCAAGTGCGCTGTGCGGTGGAAACAGCAAGTATCCAGTCAGTCTTACTTTTTCTCCCAGGAAACCTCTTCTTACAAACAAGGCACTTTCCCTGGTACATGACAGGATTTGAAGAATTGTTTCTCATGTTAAGTTAAAATAAAGTTGTCCATACCTAAATGGAAAGGTTAACAACTAGCTTATGTAAGGGCTCAACACTGCTGGCCGGCCACTACTTTGGGAGAGAAGAACCTGGTCTTGGCTGTGAATCTCAAAGGTTTGTAACATCCTGGAATTGAATCCTCACCCTGTTTAGACCTCATCTGGCTGTGCTAGGGCACAGGCTCTCTAGGTTATCAGTCGACTGTCACAGGGATCATGATGGAGCTATCTGTGAGGACACTTGTTTGATGTCTGTGCACTGGCCTAGAGCAAAGACCATGCTCGGAGGGTAGCGCTGTGGCTCAACAAGCTAATCCTCTGCCTGCTGGTGCTATCATCCTGGAGGCTCCACTTTTAGCTCCAGCTTTCTGCTTATGGCCTGGGAAAGCAACAGAGGATGGTCCAGGTCCCTGGGCCCCTGCATCCACATGGGAGACCTGGAGAAGGCTCCAGGCTCCCAGCTTCAGACCAGCTGAGGGTATGGTGCCTGGCATAGGAAAAACAAATGAATAAAGGAAGGAATGCACAGTGTCTGCTTGCCTTATCTCCAACCAGCCATATATTCACCCCCTGTGAATGATACGGGGGTAGGTACTGCTACCTACTCTTCCTCAATGTGGAAAGCTGGCTTGGTGCTCAAGGTTATCCAGTAAATAGTGGGGCTCATGACACGTAAGTGTGAGTTTCTCCCTCTACATTCCACCCTTTGATCAGCAGCCTCACCCTCAGGCCTGGACACAGGCTTACACGCTAGAGGGGCATTACTGCCCCGTATCTCGGTCTGGGTGTGTCCACTTGCCACATCTGAATCCCAAAGATCCACCGTGTGTGCTAATTCATTGAGTAATGGACTAGTTGTTGGCTGACAACAGCTCTACCTGTTGCTGGCCAAGCAAGTCTTGACTTGTTCATCCACACAGGCCTCTGGAAGCAAAGGAGTCCCAGAGTGGAAAACAAAAGCTGGTTAGGTTTGTGTTATTGGGGGGTGCAGAGGATGCAGGATGGAGTGGAGGGTAGACTTGGCATTCTGCTTGAATGCTTCCTTATAAAAAGATCTACTTATTTATTTGAAAGAGGAGAGTGCAAGATCTTCTCTCTGCCTGCCACGGCTGCAGTTAGGCCAAGCCAAAGTCATGAGCCAGGAACTCCACCCTATCTCAGCACTTGGGCCATCATCTGCTGCTGCCAGATACACAAGCAGGAAGCTAGATTGGAAGTAGAGTAGCTGGGACTCAAACAAGGCACTCAGATCTCAGCTTAACTTGTTATAGCACAATGCCTACCCCTTTGTGCTTCCTTCCCCACTCTCTCTGACTTGGGGTAGACTCTGCTTCATTCTCTGTGTCTTCCTCATGGCACTTATTTTATACTAATGAACCTGGTTTCCAATATAGCCATATGGTAAACACTCCAGTCCTCTTCTTTCTGGCCAGAAAGCCCAGCTCACACTCGAGCCCTACTGTCCTAATGAGCCTGCCTCTGCTCCTCCTCCCGTGTGCTCCAGAAGCAACTGGACTTAATGTTCAGCCAAACACAAAGGGAAAGCATGTGGGGCAGGAGAGCCACTGTAAAGTTTGTCCCATTTACCTTTGGGTGGGGAACTTCAGGGCAAAGTAACTTCACCTCCATTGTCTCTGAACCTGCAGCAGCTCCTCTCTGAGCCCTTGCACCCACTCAACTCCTACACAAACTACTTGTGGGACAAGATGAGGGCCAAGAACAAGCATCACAGCAGAACATGCTTTGCTCACTCATGGCAGGAAAGGTCCTCTTGAATACCACTGCAGTCTGGAGGTGCTGGAACAAAGTGATTATTGTTAATAACTCCCTGAAGGCCATTTCAAAGTCCACACCCAGTCGTGTGGATGGGGATTAGAGTAGTAACTGTTTGGAATGTAGGTAGCATCCTACTTCCTGGTGGTTCTTGGCAGGGAGGTTGTTCAGTCCTTCCAGAACTACTGGTGGCTTCACCGGAACACTTGGGCCAGTCCAAGGGTCTGCTTGGGCCAAGGGCCAGGACCAGAATGAAATTGCAGAGGGATGGTCACAGCCAACAAGAGGGTGTGATGATGGGCCAGGACACAAACCCAGGGATCAAGTAAGTACTAGGATGGCGGGCAATGGGATGGACACCTTCACAGCCCTTGGGTTCTAGGCAACGTGCGTGGGACGGGGCACCCAGGGGAAGGACACTGAGCCAATGCAGATAGTGGTCTAGGGAGGCCAGAAGCACAAAAAACCTCAGCGCTGGGAACAGCAAGGGCCAGCAGTGTGTGCAGGAGATCTCTGACTCAGCAACTAGACCTGGGCTAAATACAGAGGGGTGATGACCATGGGCACAAGGGGCGAGACAGACGCGGGTATGTGTGTTCAAGAACACTCCTAGGTGAGGGAAGTGGGCAGGAATGAGCTCCAGCTGATGTGCCGGGGATGATCCAGACCCTCCAGCACGATGCCCTGAACAGTGCCCAGTATGTAGTTGGGGCTCAGGAAATAACAGAAGTCCTTGCCCACTGCACCACCGCAGGGGAGGAATCCTCTCCTGGGCCTCCCTGGTTAGGAATAACTCTATCATTCGCAAATAACAGAATTTGAATTCAGTTCCTAGCTTGTGTCTCTTAAGGCATTGCCCTTTAGTGGGCTTCTGAGCACCGACAAGCAGCAACAGATTGCAACCACAGGCACTGAACCCTTCAGGAGATACACCCTTCCTGGCCGGGAAGAGGCAAGCGGGTCCCGCCCACGCCTGCCGGCAGCTCTACCAAACCAGGTTCCCGGGCTAGCCAAGACTCCTCGGCGCGGTTCCGCGCGCCTGAAGCCAAGGGCTACAGCCAGCTTCAGATCTGGGGCCCAGGCCCTGGGGAAGGCTGGCTGTCCTGTCCCCACCTGCACGATGAATCACGTGCTCGGGGGCTGAGCAGCTCCATAAAACCAGCCTAGGGGCGGGAGCCAGGAGCCCAAAGAGCTACAAGCTCGCCAAGGCACCTGAGCCGCGCACACGGTCCAGCTGCGCGCCCAGCCATTTCTGAGTGCTGCCCTGAGCCGCGCTGCTGCCCTGTGCTTCGCTGCTGCCCGAGGCCAGGAACGAGCCAGAGAGCACTGTCAGCTCACTCCTGTCGGCCGGACAGGGCACCGAAGATGCCGGTGGGCAGTTTGTGCCCAGCCACCGTTCTCCTGCTGGTGATCGCTCAGCTGCCGCCTTGCAGCCCAGCCCCGCTGAACGGTAGAGTTTCTGCCTGTTTCTCTCTCTTAACTGTTCTGAGCGCCCAGCCCTAGCAGCACCCACGGATTTGGGGAAAATCATTGCTGGGAGAGCGGGAAAGGAGTGGGATCAAAGAGTGCATATTTTTCGGGCTGGTTTGGCTGGTTGGGACGCAGGACCTGCTCTGGTTGTGGTTGTGGCGGGAAGCACGCGTTAAGGAGTTTGGTGTTCATTGAGCACCCTGGCACTGGAGATATGGTTTGGGGACTGGCTAGCCAGTTTTGTGATTGAATCTACCTGTAGATAGCCGCAAAGGGATCATCCCTCTGAGCCCGGTGATAGCCAGGAAGGGTCTCCAGTCTCCAGCTCAGAGTCCTCAGATGGGGCAGGTGCTTTTCATGGGTGGAGATGGGAAAGAAGGACTCTTCCCAGTGAAGTTTCACCTCCAGGTTGCAGGGATGAGGCATCCCAGTCTTAATCACTGTTTTTCTCCAGAAGGGCTCCACTGTCCTAAAGGTACATGTGTATGCACATAGGCACATACCTCATTTCTGACTGTAATTATGACCTGGAGCCCCAAAGGGCTGGAGCCGGAGGGTGCCCAGGAAGGTGGCTGGAGATGGTGATGGTGGCTGGTCCCCCTGGGACTGCTGGGTGACTGTGAGGGGCCAAGGCTGGGTTAGTTACTCTTGTGAGGAATTGAGAGTGCTGAGCTTTTACCTGCTGCTTCTCCAACAGCTGGGGGCATTTTTTTTTTCCTGGTGGAGTAGACGCTGGCTTTTGTGAGAGCTTCCCTGGGAATAGATGGGGACTCCTACCCTTGACTGAATTTGACTCAGGCTGTAGGGACACCTGTGAGTGCCACTGGTTCCTGGACGCAGGCTGAGCTGAAACAATTCTAGAACCCAAGGGGACTGTAGCGGCTCCAAATGCATGCTCCCTGGCTGGGCGTGCACTGGTCCTGCCCATGGGCATCAAAGTCCAGAGCCACCTTTCCTCTTGATGCCCATGGGGCAGGCAGGGCAGCCAGGCTGAGCTATGATATTGCTCTTAATTAAATTCTGGTCTTACTAGCTACATGGCATGCCTAACACTATTTTCCTCACGTGGTCCCAGGGAGATGCAGAAGGTGGGAGAGAGAGAGAGGAGTTATAGCCTCAGAGAAGTGGAGATCGATTTTTTTTTTTTAAACTGCACTCTCGGTGTGATTGAGCTCTGCTTTGAAATCAACATTTTATTTTTATCCCCATAGAAATTGCCTTTGTCCTCCCAAGCAGCTTCCAGATATTGCCCTTTGTTGCCCCCTCCCCTTCCTATCCTATTCTGAGAACTCCTTGCCCCTTCACTTGGAGTGGTTGTACCCCTCCTACCCCTCACCCCACACTTTCCAGCCTTTCCCTGGGCCCCTGTTGGGAGCTGAGGTAGGGGAAGCTGGCATTAGAAACCCCAGCTGCCCTTACATGGCATGGTCAGCCTGTCCACCCATTGCTCCTGCAGGTCTCCTGGCTTTTTGACTGCCTCAGTGGACAAGGTCAAAACAAGAAACAAACAAACCCACTAAGGTGAATGCTGTCAGTATTAACCCAAGGCTGGGGGTAGTGGGGAGGGGTGGGTCAGAGCTTTCAGCTGAGGAATAGAGTCAGAGTGGGTTGGCCCCTGGCCTAGGGCATTGGTGAGCATCCAAGACAAATGTCTGGGGCAGGGAGAGAGGAAGCATGGTTGGGGACCAGGCTGTGGGAGTGGGGGGAGAGTGTGGAGCCAGGTGTCTTGGGAGAGTCCTCAGGTTGTGGCTGCTAGGTGACCTTCCCGTGATGGTGCGGGGAGCTGGGCAGTCCCAGGCCATGTGGATGCTGGTGGGTGTTGGGAACCAATAGGTTCTGGCACCCAGAAAGGCCAGAAAGCAGGCAGGGCCCCTGTACTTCTGATCTGGATCTTAATAAATACCTTCTCCCAAGACATTCCCTGTCCTCGGCGAGCTGGGCCTACAGGTCTAACAGGCACTGGGGCTGAGGGCCCAAGGAACTCATGACCTTTTTTTGGTGGTGAAGGGCCTGTTCCCTCAGGAAGTGCTAAGGCTATAGCCTGGCCCTGCCTCAGTTAAATCCTGTTAAGGTTGCTATAAATCCTAAAGCGAGAGGCTGCGAGCCTGGAGGTGCCATTCCTGAAACACCTGGGTATGCACTGTTGTTCAAAGTCTCCCTGAGGTCAGATCTGAGCTGACATGAACCAGTGCAGGTCCGGCCCCTTCACAGTGTGGCTTCTTGCCTTTCCTAGGGTCCCAGAGCTCTTACAGATACTCTCTGTTAAACCCAGAGACCTAGACACCCCAAACAGGCATTCTCAGAAAGAGGAGGGTAAAAGAGGTCAGTGTCCCTAACCCACAGACCTGTATTATCACGTGGGGCCTGGTCCCCTAGGTAACATTTGTCCCTGAGCTTTCCAGAACCTTCTGCTGGTGCCTCACCTGAGGGTGGGAGCTCTGGGGCCAGGGAAAACCTCAGCTTGGTGAGCCTTGGAAGGGCGGCAAGAGAGGCAAGGTGTTGAGTCTGTGATCCACTCTGGGGGCAGGAGACATGGAAGTTCCTGGCCAAAGAGGGAACAGCTTTTCTGGAGGCCTCAGGGTGGCCAGGAAATGGTGACACTTTACAGCCCTCACCTCCAAGTTCTCTGTCTGGCAAAAGGGCAACAATCTGACTTCCTATGCCTCTGGACTCCACAGTAGTGTTCTACTAATGAACCCTGCCAACAGAACACTAGTGATGGTGGGGAACTGTCCAGAAAAGGGGTTTGAGATCTGTCCCTAGCTTAGCTCCAAGGCAATGCCTTTTCTGCATGTGTTTTTATTTCTGTGTCAAAAAAAATGGTTGCTGACACACATCAGGCACACTACAGGTTGGCTTTCCCCACATCCCTGACCATCTTTATCCAGAAGCTAATTTGGTGAGGTGAACCATGGAGTCACTTCCCATGGGGTCCACAGCAGATTGAGGACAGAGGGGTCTGTAGATCTCCAGAGACTGACAAGAAACCTTTGCATCTGAGGGCATTTACGTGGAAAAAAGGCTTATAATACAGAAAGATCCTCTAAGGATCCTGGCCTTCCCCACTCCTCCTCTGAAGGGTGAAAAGGAACGGGAAACACTGCCTGAGTTCTCAGGAACCAAAAGTTGAAGGTCAAGGCTTTGAAGCACGTGTTTTTAGGCAGGTCCACCTCCTCTCCATGGACTTTCTCCCTCCTTGCCTATAAAAAGAGGTGATGGGTTGTGGATCCCTGAGAGAGACCTCAGTCTTTCCATTCCAAGGTAGAATGTCAATAAATAATGTCCAAGCCTTAAAAAAATCTAAATAAGCATGTAATAGGGGTGCAAGGAGAGAATTCTCAAAGGATTGTTTACAGAGGACTCAGCAGTAGGCATTAGCCTGGAGGCTAAGGCACCTGCCAGGCATATCAGTGGTTCTTGGTTTCAGATTCTGGTCAAGGCTCCTGACTTTAGCTTTCTGTTGGTGCAGCCCCAGGGGCAGTGGTGAGGATTCAAGATCCTGGCAGGTGGTGGTGAGAGCTGGATTGGATTAGCTCCCAGCTTTTCGCCCTAGTCCTGGCCACTGTGGGCATCTGGGGAATTAACTAATGGATAAATTGTTTCTCTATCTCTCAAATTAAAAATCAAAACAAAAGTCACATTAAGAAAAAAGAAGAGGATTCAAAGTAGTTGCCTTAGAGAGCAGATAAATAGCTAGGAGGTATCACGGGCTGATATTTTTATTAAAAAGCCTTCTAGTAACAGCTGACTTTCAAAACTATGTATAAGTATTACTGGGTTAAAATCCCCAATGAAATTTAAAACAAAATTAATGAAAATCACTGAAGCAATGACAATAAGCAGAACACTAACAAAATGAGAGTAAAGTAACTAAACAAGGGAAAATAAATAAATGAAGCACTAGGCCTTGCAGTATAGTAAGATGCGCACATCTCAAATGCAAATGACTAGATTCCATTTTTAGCTCCAGCTCCTAAAGTTATCTCCCTGTGAATGCAGACTCTGCCTTAAGGACTTGGATCCCTGTCATCCACATGGGAGACCTGGGTGATAATCCCAACCCCAGTCCCAGCTACTATGAACACCCATGGAAGTGAATCAGCAAATGAGAGATCTCTTCCCTCTGCCCAGTCTGTCTCTCTCTCTCTCTCTCAAAAAAAAAAAAAAATCAATCAGTCATCACAAGTCACAAACCACTTCTTTTACTTTTTAGACACCATCACTGGCTTGGGTAGCCAATGTCCCCATGTGCTCACTGGCTGGCTAAACTTAACTGGGAAGAAATTCCCAAGAGAGACAGGGGACGTGAGCTTCGTCCTGTTCTAGGTGTGTCCTTGTAATCACAGAAGTACCAGAAGAGGAAAGAAGGTTGTGGAGTGGTGCACAGCCCCCTCCTGGGATGGTTCTGGACTCAGGGCCTCTGTCTCCTTCTGGAGGCCAGGAGGGAGAGTGTGCAGGCAGAGTGAGGAGAACTGCCACACTTCCCTGACAGCTCCCATGCAGGCAGCGGCTTCTGCAGAGAGGAATGTGATCTGTTCTCCGGGGTGCATAGTCAGATGAGCAAGGTACAGGAGTAGGTTTCCAGCAGCCCAAGTCTGGGTTGGAGAGAGGGGGAGGGAGGCAGAGGGGATGCATACGTGCACACAGCAGTACCATGCAAGGGCATACAGTGCTCCCCGTAAGCCAGGGATCCAGTGGAAGCAGGAAGGTAGGCTGAGAGGAAGAGCTTTCCCTGGATTATACCTGGATGGCTTTGGGCAGTTTCTTTTGTTTTGTTTTTGCAAGGTGGAGGTACAGGTAGTGTAGGGGTAGAGAAAGACATCTTTCATCTGTGGGTTTATGCCCCCAAATGCTGGCAACAGTTGGGGATGGAGCAGGCTGAAACCAGGAGCCAGGAACTCAAACTAGGGTTCTCAGCTGGATAACAGAAACCCAGCTACTTGCCATTACTGCTGTTTCCCAAGGGGGTGTATTCCTGGGAGCTGGAATCAGAGCAGAGCTGGGACTTAAGGCCTCTGAACCTCCATACCAAGTGCAGGCCTTGGCTTTGGGTTTTTAACCATGTCTGTTAGCACCTAGGCAGATGACGAAGTTTGGCTCTGTGATGATGTCTGGGTGGCTCAGGGACATCTACTGAAAATGGCAGGGTCCCTCTGGAATTCCCAGGCCCTGCAGACTCACTGTCCCATCCTCTGTCTGGACCCAGTTGCTCAGAGCAGCTGCTCTTCTGATATAGACTCAGCACCAATTTTCATTTCTGTGTACCCACCTCTTTTCTAGAATGTTTCAATCTATAGCATGTCCCCTAATGCATTCACTACAATTGTATTCACTTGCTCTGTTCTGTTCTTTGCAGGATCCAAGTGGACCTATGTTGGTAAGTAACAATTTTAAATACTTTTGGAGGAGATGGCTGTATATAATGAGAAATCTAGAAACTGCATGCTCTGTGACAATGATTTGGGAGGGGGGAGTGAAGGTGGAGAGGGGCAGAAGAGCTGTGCGCAGATGGCTGATGTGGGGGCAGCGTGTCCAAAGAACGGTTTCATGCAAACTGCAGGTACCTGGGTAGAAAAGTATCTTCCTCCCTTGAAGGGCATTTATCTTACAGGAAATAAAGAATAAAGGACCCCTTTCTGAAAGTTTGGCTCAGACCCCAGAACTTAAGCTGTCAGTAATGTCTAAAATTAACTTCCTTTTGACAAGTTTCTAAGTCAAGAAATAGAGGAAGAGGCAATGGCCAGTCTTTAGCTCAAGACAGGTGTGTGTGCTAGGGTTGGGCGGGGATACTAGCCTTATAGGCAAAAAGAGGAGTGCCAAATGTGCCCTGGGTCAGTGGACAGGAAGCCAAGTGCCTGGGGCCTCTGGCAGGTGCAAGATGTCTTCCTAGGAGCACAGTCACAGAAGAGGAACTGCACACATTGTTTTGGCATGTAAGAACTCAGAACTGACCTCCATGGCCCAGGAGGTATTCAAGGCTAGTGGAGGTGTGCCACCAAAGTTAAAGCCAAGGGATATGTGTTGACTGGCCATGAGCTGGTGACTGCAGGGTGGGGAAGTTACTGATTACTGTGATGGAAGCACTGCCCAGGCAGAGATCTGACCTCAATTTGCAGAGCGCTACCTTTTGTATGTCCCTTAGCCCAAGAGGCACAGAAAAGTCAGTGAACCGACCAGCCAGCTGCCTTTGGGCCAAGGTCTCCTCAACTCCAGCCCAGCAGAGTAGTTTGGCTGCTGTTAATATCATCCCTTGTGGGCTTGTTATGTGCAGGCACCTTGCTAAGTGGGTGGATAATTAGAAGGGGAGGCTGTGGACTGTAGTTGGGAATTAATTACTTGGCGTTCAACAGTTCAAAGCCAAATGTAAGAGGGAGTAATGACAGAATAAAGAAACGTTTCAGTGCTCTGCTCGGTGGAGGATGCGCAGTCTGGGCTGGATGGAGAAACGGAGGAAGGCTTCCCAGAGCAGGAGGGCAGAGGAGGAGAGATGGGGAAGAAGTGCTGTTGGCGGAGGCAGTGAGGGCACAACAGGAGTGGACGAGGAAGAGAAGGAAAGACGAGCAAAATGGTCTCTGCAGGGGGCATGTGGAGAAGGCTTTGTCGGGGCAACAGGCTCTGAGGGGAGACATGCAGGCCTGCCTCACTTCGTCCTGTAAACCGACTGGAAGGGCAGAGAGGGAAGCAGCGTCTCAGAAGGAACGAGGCAGGGATCGGGGTGCCCAGTGTGTGAGGGTAGGAACCTGGGATGGGAGGCAAGAAGGGACTCTGGCCCAGGTCACAGGGCAGGAGACCTGGCTGAAGCAGTGGCAGAGTGGGTGGGCTTTGTGTGAGGGGAGGTGGCAGTGAGAACACAGGTGGGACTCAGGTTCCAGGCCTCATTCCGTGTGACCCTCAAGAAGGCACTGGAGCCCTCTGGGCTTGGATCCCTGTCTGCAACCTGGAGGATCATGTGTCTCCATTGGACATCTTAAACATAGCTTAGTCTCACCTACACAGCAAAATCACCTGGAATATGTTGCAAAAATGCATATTTTAACACCTTAGCTTGGACCTGGGTGAGGCAGAGCCTGATAAACCTGTATTTTTTAAAACATTTTTAAAACATTCTCCTAAGAACCAGAAGTGTTTAAAATCCGGTATTTAATTATTTGAAACATAGAGTGACAAAGAGAAAGGGGCAGAGAAAGAGAGATCTTTTATGTGTTGGTTTGTCTCCAAATGGCCACAATGGCCAGGGCTGAGCCAAGCTGAAGCCAAGAGTCAGGAACTTCTGGGTCTTCCATGTGGGCACAGGGGCCCAAGCACTTGGGCCATCCTCCACTGCTTTCCCAGGCCATTAGCAGGGAGCTGGATCAGAAAGTGAAACAGCTGGAACTTCAACTAGTGCCTATAAGGGATGCTGGTGCTGTAGGTGGTAACTTAAGGCACTGCACTGCAATGTGGCCCTCCCTCCCATGGGAAGCCCACTCTATAAGGGCATCACTAACCTGGTGGCTCTCAATATCTTTCTAGCCCAGGAGTCAGAGCGGGTAAGCTGTCCTGTATCTCCTGCAGGAAAAACAAGCCATGTGTCTGTGGAGGCTTGCTGCCTCTGTTCTAGTCCCAGGGCAGAATGAGGGTTATGGGGGCACCCAGAGACACTGCAGAAACTCCTAATTGCTGCCTGACCATGACAGGGCTCCTGGTAAGAGGGCTGCTCTGCCCAGGTGTGGGGACATGCCTGGGGGAAGCCCGAAGGCCAGGGTGGAGTGTATTAGCGAGGTGGGCACATGGGATGCACACTCAGCCTGTGGGGCGGGGGTGGGGTGAAGGATGAGACGGGAAGACCAGCTGGAAGACAGCTTTGGAAGCCAACAGGTCCAGGCTGGTAGCTCAGCATGCACAGGTGAAAACAGAGGGCCCAGTGTAGATGCTGCAGGGGAAGCCATTTCCCAATGGTAAGTGCTGTGCTGGCTGGGGCAAGTCCCACCAAATGCCACATAGTGTTTTTCCCAGAGCTCAGAGCTCGGCTCCTCTGCACGTAGGCACTGCTGAGTCATCCTGCCCTGGGCCCTCCTGCTGCCTGTGCACATGCAGGGACTTCTAGGAGGACATGCAGGAACTTCTAGGACATGGAATGGGAGTCTCCTCCCTGCCCCTGGCACAGAGTCACCAGACGACCTTGGTGGCAGCCTCCCCACAGGGAGGACAATCTGACAGTAGCATTGGGCTCAGCAGCAGTTCTCTCTGTGTGTGTGAGAGAGAGTTTATGCTGGGCTTAGGCTTGCTGAGGCTCAGTTATGAGAACAAAGGAAGACTGGGAGATGAAACTGGACTCTCCCTTTTGGAAAACAGCCCCAAATTCATCCTGCTGAACAGGGTGGCTTCACCTGCTTTGAACTGAAGGGTAGCTGTGGGCCAGTTTGTCATGTGAGCCGGGGACAAACTCCAGCCCTCTAAAGTTCATGAAAGCTGTGGAAAGTCAGAGGAGCAAGGCCTTGCTGGGGGAGGGGCACAGTGGGAGAAGGGCTGGAAGGCGGCCCCAGGAGTCAGGTACTGGTCAGATTCCATTCCTGGACATGGGGCTGTGCTCAGTTAGTGGAAATCCAACCAACCGTTTAGGTAGGGTGCAGGTACTTTCTGTGTTGTATAGTACTGGGGTGGAGAGCACAGAATTCCCAGCTTGCCAGGGAGGTCATCCTTGCCCTGACATCATCTTTACCACTTGCCCAAGAAAATAATGCAGAAACTTGGTGTGCCCAGTGCCACAGAGCAGCCGAAAGCATGACGGGCTTGGGACTCACAGACCAAGAGCACATCCCACGAGCAGAGACAGACACCGTGTATCACCAGCTTGGAGGACATCAGAAGCAGACAGGTGCCACTGTTGGTGCGTGAGCTGGGACAAGGGTGACAAACCCTCAGGGAGCTAGGTGGCAGAGGAACCTGGATGCCAAGGGCTCCTTTCCTGGGCAAGTCCCACCTTCCATGAGGCAGCCTTGAGACCAGCCTTCATCTTACCCCATTGCCACTCCCCAGTCTGGCAGGGAACTCTGGAATGATGGTGGTTTGGCTTGAGAGTGCAATGGCAAGACTCTGTGTGCCCCAAGCACTGCCTGGAGCCCCAAGTGCTGCTATTTTTGCTCCATCTCTTGGTTCTTCTCTGATTGTAGATCCTTGGATCTTAAAGAATTTCCTTTGGAAATCAGGGACAGTCTGCTCCATGGAGCAAACCTCATTGTCACATCCTTTGGGTGTTGCAGGCCCTGGTCTGTGGCTGTCCCCTGTCCTGCCTCTCTGCTGGGACCTGGTCAGGTCCTACACACCCTCCCCAATCACGAAGAACTACAAGTGGATGCTGTGTATAGAGGCTGGGAGTGGCATCGTGTGACCTTGAGTGGGAGGTCAGGCTTTGGTGGCCATGACAATGGGGCAGGGAACTCAATTCCTGTTCCCGAGTCTCATGATTGCCCTGGTGACTGGTCACCCAACCCCCACTCATTTGTGGAATCTGGGCTTTAGTCGCAGTCATTTCTAATGCAGGTGGTGACATCCAAGGTCTGTCCAGCCTGGATTCTGTATTTCTCACCTTTCCTGAGTGGCAGAGTCAGGGTTTGTGCGTGTGCCAGGGAGGAGCCTGGCCTGGAGTTGCCCATCTACCTGTGCTGCAGGATGTACAATGTGCCTTAGACTCTGAGTAAAGAAGCAAGAAGCTTTCTCCCTTAAAATCTCCTTTTACATCAGATATATTAAGGAAATAATATAGAACTAATTGTCTTACCCATCTTCCTGTAGTGCTTGAACATTTTTACCCAAATTATGTCAAGTTTGTCAAAAAAAATAATAATAATAAAGAAGTTTTAAAAAAGAGGCAAGAAGCTGTCATTAATGCCTGAAGACAAGAGCACTGTCCTGGGGACTGAAGTGGCAAACCAGGAGGAAGGAGTAGGACATGCACAGCCCAGGACCCGGAAGACCTCTGCGGATGTAGCTGGCCAGATTGGGCTCGCTGGTCTTAGGGAAGTCACTTCTCTCTAGGCCTCTGTTTCTGGGGTACAGTGGGAGTGATCCTGCGCCTAACAGGTTTTCAACATGTGGTTTCTGGGGGCCAGCAGCACAGGCATCATCTGGACTCCATGTGCCACTGCTAGGAATGCAAATCCTCAACCCCACCTCAGGCACATTCACTAATTAGACATTTGCTGCATGGCCACTGGGTGCCCAAGTTTGGGAACTGATGTTTTGCTTTATAGGATTATGATGAGGACCAAATAAACTCATGCAAGGGTGGGGATGGAAGGGCATGGTGGTGTAGCAGGTTACACCCCCACTTGGCACATCCCATCCCATCTCAGCAGAAGGCTTAGAATGCGGCCCTACCTCTGTTCCCATCCAGCT